ATAAACAATAAACACTATATTCTATTAGAATATTTAGGTACTCCCTATTTCAATGTACTTCCTTGCTTTCTTTTTTTTCCCTTGTTAATCCATAGCTCGGATTAATCATCGAATGTCGTATTGTAGGGTGCTGCTTAAAACTAATGTAGGCGCTTAGTGCTCGCGGGATAGCCCTGGGCACCCTGCAGAGACTTAGGGCGCGCCTGATTCGATTCAGCGAGCGACTATAGCAACCAATTGTATTCATAGCCCATTGCGCTGTTTAAAATGAACGTATTGTTGCCCATCGTGTCTATAGTGTATAGCGGTTTTTTTTATTTAAAAAAAAAAAACGTAGGCGCCATAGTGCTCGCAGGTGAGCAAGGGACGCTTTTTGTCGCGCAAATTACGAGGCGCCGGCGGTTGTGCCTGTTGTAGTTTTGCCGCTAAATATAGTAGTACCCCTTACCCGCTATGTAGAACGCCCGATTAACGGATGCCAAGTAATAACGTAGCCGCTCTGGAACTCAGGGCGCCAAAACGTGTATGGACAAAAATTCACCACCCGGGCGCCGCCCATAAGTATGTAGAGAAACATCGCACCCTCCGAAATTTAAAATATGATTTTTTTTGCACCAACCTCTTCTGTAGTGTTTTAATCAACTCCTTTAAGTTTCATGATGATCGGATGAAGAGTGTGAATCCGCAATCGACTTCTATTTTTTATATACCGTATATAGAGGAAAAACAAACCGCGTCGTGCCTGGGCGCCACTCCTGCGAATTTGAAAAACTGTTTTCGCAGAAACTTCCCCAGGAAAATTCGCAACAACTTCCCAAAGTTTCATGGCGGTCGGATGAATTGGTGTAGTAATGCGTAAAAGAAAAACAGACGCACAAACACATACATTGCTTAATATATATATAGGCTATATATATATATATATATATATATATATATATATATATATATATATACCTAATATTGAAAAAAAATGTTGGCGGCTCTTTAAAGACTTGGAATTTGTGTAAATTGTAACTTTTGGCTCTTCCGTCTCAAAAGGTTGCCGACCCCTGACTTAAGGCTCAAACCCCCCTCAGCCCACAACGCCGATGAAAAAAAAAACCCCGTTGAATCATCATTTAATTACACATTTCCATTTTCAGGTTTAAAAAAAAAATTGTAAGTAGACGTTTTGTATTATATCTATGTATATGTAAACTATCTTAAATGAAAAAAAGTAGGCTACATGTAAGAAAGAAGTATTACTATTGTAAATCTATATCAGTCCTCACAAGCCGATGATGAAAGGGGTCATCCATAAATGATGTCACGCTTATTTGGACGATTTTTACCCCCCCCCTCCGCTCCGTCACACAACGTCACAAAATGACGTCACACTTCCGCCTACAACCCCCCTGAAAATAGCAGTTGCATTTTTCTTAAGACAGCGATATTTTTCCCAAATCTTGTCTGAACTCTGTCAACATAGTGTTGTTTTAATCAATTTCTATTACAATTTATTAAAACAGTTTTCTAAAACGCGAAATAACGGCTAAAGTTCTTTATCACAAAATTACGGACCCCCTTCCCCTACGAGTGTGAAGTCATTTATGGACGCCCCAGAGGCGTATCCAGGTTTTCGTTGTAGGGGGAGCGAAAGGAGCAAAAAAGGCGCCAAATTTTTTACACGTTCCATATACGTGTATTATATATATATATATATATATATATATATATATATATATATATATATATATATATATATATATATATATATATATATATAATTACTAGCTGTAAGTCATTACGCTATGATGTAAATTAAATTGAAAGTAGCACTCTGAAGAAATAAGAAAAAACACACAATGTAGGCAGACAAAACAAAAATTGTATCAATCTAAACAATATATATATATATATATACACACTACAACCCAAAACAATGAACGTAACACAATCTGTTTTGTAATTCTTTAAAAATAAATTCTTACATAATAATAATTCCTGGGAAATTATTTAAGACAAGTGAAATAGGGGAAATAATCACTCTCTTAATATAAATATGAATATATATCTACACATTTAATTATAAATGTCAAAACAAATAAATAATTACTTCAGATTATAATGAAATTGTTTAACACTATTCGTGTTTATAAAATGTTTTTGTCTATAATCAGAATTTAATATATCGTCATCATAAATGCTAAAGTATTACAGCATAATGAAAGTTTTTAAAATCAGAGTTGGTATAAAATCACGCTTTCCGATAAATAGATAAACATTCGGAATAACAGCATACGTTTAATTTAATTTCGGTCTTTTAGTTCAATCATATATTTTAATTAACTACTGCTTCGTTGTGTTCTTAAAGATCATTTTTAACATAGTGATAGGTATGGGTTAGATCACTGTATTGATCACACAACTTTTTACCGGTAATTGCAAAAACAATAGGTCAATTATCCAACCCGGTGATACCTAGCTGTGACATTAATGTCGCTCTACACATTTGTGGTGGTGAGGGGGGGGGGGGGAGGAGGGGAGATAACCAACTCAGAGTGAACATAGCGTCAGTTTTTAGTTGACTGTTCTAAACATACATATATATTACACAAATATATATTACACAAATATATATTACAGAAATAGATTTAAATAAGTAGCAGTGGTATTATGACAATATTTTTTTTACAGAAGGGTCCATGGGGGTGGGGGGTTGTAACTGTTTCATATAATTTGTAATCGTAATCACTATCGCCCAAACTGTAAGAATACTACTACTTCATCGTGATGACGTCAAAATTTCCCCACCACTGCGCAGTTTGCTCATAAGTTAATTTAAATAGAGGTGCCACATCAGTTGTATTTGTTTCTGTATTGTAATTTTTTTTAAATTAATCACACGATTCAAACTGTATATATAAAGTAATTATGTGTGAAGTTTTATGTATAACATTTTCTAATTCAATTATTCGTAAGCAAATACATTATACAGTTGCTTTAACTTAACACCCCTCTTGCCAAGTGGTATTACCGTGGAGGTTTTTTAAACTTTGCAATGCATCGTAATGGTTATTTTTAGAATAGCAAACTGATGCAGCTGTTAATACGTGTTGTAAACGTAGACACTACTAAACTAGTACAATAATGCTTAATTGCTGCATGAAAAGAAATCTTGTGATTTACATAGATGTGCCGACCAAAACATTTTTTAACAAATATCATTGTTTAAAACTTTGAGTTTAAAAAGTTTCCAAAAAGGCGCCACTTTGCTGAAAATGGCCAGAGGGGGAGCGGCCGCTCCCCCTGCTCCCCCCCTGCGTACGCTACTGGGACGCCCCCAAAACTGTAATACTAAAGCGAATATGCTAGACAAACTAATGCTGTAAATTACATGTCTGGGGCGAAAAAAAAGAAAAACAAGAGAACTTCCTGACTACACATTGTATTTACATGTTTTAAAAATGGTCTAAACAGCATATCTATTTAATTTTTTAAATGTATAAACTAGTAAATCCATCTTCAATATTTAAAAAAAAATACGCTTATTTGTAAAATAGTTCGTTTTCATTAGATGATTGAAAGTATTTAAAATATATTGTTGTTGATGTACTTGTTTTAAATTGCAAATAAAAGTATTCAAAAGAAAAAAAAAACGTTGACTACGATCTTAACGAAATATTAAAAGCAACACTAAGACTTAGATTAGGAAGCCCTAGCTTAATACGACAAACAGGGGGTAACGAATTAATATTAAGACAGTCTTAATTAAAATAGCACAATCTCGACCCTCGAGTAAATTACCGCCAGAACAGTGCTTGGGTCTCTTAAATAGTGGGTGATAATCTGAATGGTCGGAAGAGATACTCGACCCTTCCCGGCGCCCGGGGACAAACTTTCAATTTGGCGCCCCCTCGGGAGCAAATTTGCACCCCCCCCCCTAAAACTGCAAAAATGCTGCTAAAATGACATTTTAACTTGTTTTTACCACCCATTTTGGCGCCCTTAAGGTCGGCGCCCGGGGACATATGTACCCCCCTGCCCCCCCCCCCCCCCCCGTCGCTACGCCTCTGCATTACCTCTACCGAACTGGTGGATAGATCAAAGCCAGCGTATGCCCGTCGCCATTTGTCAGGGGCCAGTTTTGAGTGACGGGAAGTTCAGCATACACGGAATGGTGGATCATCGTTACAGCGACACTTTCACACAGTCATTTTAATTTTCTGGCCATGGGTCGCCACAATGTCAACTTTTGGCTTCACAGATGAGGATGGGACATCAGTGAACTAAGTCCTCGGATGTAATAACAGAGTTGCATCCCTTAACGATAATTTTAATCTAGTTTTATGCCATTTTACTTTCTTCATTTAATTATATGTATGTATGTATATATATATATATATATATATATATATATATATATATATATATATATATATATATATATATATATATATATATATATATAGTTACTGAGATAATGAATTTGTCTTTGATAGTCAGTATAAGTCAGTTACTAGGGTCAGGATTTAAATAGTCAGTCACAGAAAGGCAAAGAATTGGACATGAAGTGTCTTAAAACATTTAAGTGATATTAGTTTAAAAGAGATAATCTATCGGAAGTATTTACATGAAATTAATTTTTTATTTTTATTTTCGTTAATTTAGCTATCATAAATCAGCACACTCTTAGAAGATTGATTTACTTTAATAAAAAATGTAACAATGAATGTCTGAAAGATAATCTGTAGAGATAAGAAGTAACTGAACAGATGGGTTCAATGACACGACTAAATGTAGCTCAACAGTCTGGTCATTCATTTAACTTGTGTTGTTCAGGGCACACAACTCCAGCATTAACCAAAGATGATCCTGATTGTTTTATTGAGCGCTTTTGTTTTAGCTCAGGCTAGCGGTGAGTTGGATGATTTAGTATTTTATGTCTTTTAATTACACTAATTAATACACTTATGTAATGAAAATTCATTTTTATTTTAAGATTTCCTTATTAAGTTTAAAAAAAAACATCGTTGTTTAGAAATAAAAAAAAAATCATATCTCATATCTAACTAAAGTGCAACAGATAGACACAATAGAAGCCTGAAGTTAGATTGACTACATTAAACTTTGTGCAACAAAATAAATCAACCTCACAATGAATTACAAGCATTTATAAACCGCAATATCTGCTATATTAAAACAGAAAAGCTCTCTATTCATGAATTTTTCCAATCTATTTTGATACTCATGGCAATGATTTTTTAAACCTGAACACCAGGTTCTTCTATTCGAGAATGTTCTCAGTTATGTCAGCCCGCCAGTGGCAAGAGTACAGACACCTGCATGTATGGGCTCACCTGTGTGCAAGATGGATGCAACAGCTACTGCTCATATCCAGGTAAGTGATGCATGTCAATTTATATTGCCATATCTTGCTGGTCAGTTGAATGTGTAATGTTGGTCGGTGGTTGGTCAGTTTTATATTGCCATATCTTGTCAGTTGAATGTGTTATGTTGGACGGTGGCTGGTCAGTTTTATATTGCCATATCTTGTCAGTTGAATGTGTTATGTTGGACGGTGGCTGGTCAGTTTTATATTGTCATGTCTTGCTGGTCAGTTGAATGTGTTATGTTGGTCATGGTTGGTCAGTTTTATATTGCCATGTCTTGCTGGTCAGTTGAATGTGTTATGTTATCCGACTGCTGGTCAGTTTTTTATGTTGGTAAGTCTTGATGGTCAGTTTTATATGTTTGTAAGTGCTGCTGGTCTGTTTAATATATGCCATGTTCGTCGGTGGCTGATCAGTTTTATACGTTAGTAAGTCTTGCTTGTCAGTTTTTATGTTGGGAAGTGTTGCTGATCAGTTTGATAGATTTTGTTGGCGGATTTTATTCTAGGATAATTCCTGTCCTTTATACTGCACTTATTGATCAAGCTTCTTCCATTTTATTTATTTAAAAAAAAACGTATCCACATACTGGACAGGTAAAGATCTAACAGAATAAACATATCTGCAACTTTTGAACTAAGTCGGTTAATCTCAGTTACATTCATGATCAAGCGCTTTTCATAATAAAAGTTATTTTATTCTTAAAAATTACGATTAAAAACACAAGATTGTACGCAGAATAAAACAAATTAATTTAATTCAATTCTAATTTGAGGCGCTAGCAGAGAAGCTTCCCTTAATAATTGGAGAATGTTGATGTCGTTTACGTTGGATCATTCATGCTTTACAAAACCTTTCCGCTTTGTGACCGTTCATTAAGTCAACAATCTTTACGTGAGAAACTACATACATTTACCTAGTCGAATCATCAATTGCGCATTAATCATGTCAGTTGTACCTAAAATATAATTTATTATTGCTGTTAATATATATATATATATATATATATATATATATATATATATATATATATATATATATATATATATATATATATATATATAAATATATATATATATATATATATATATATATATATATATAAATATATATATACATATATATCGCAGTGAGAAGTGAGAGACAGATTGCGTGTCTACGCCCATGTAACGAGGCTAGTGAGATAAGACAGGTGGGATCGTGTGCACCTGGTTATGTGTGTGTCTGGGACTCCATCTGTCACACCTGTATTTCTGCATCAGGTAAGATGTGACTGTTAGCACCTGTATTTCTGCCTCAGGTAAGATATGACTGTTAGCACCTGTATTGCTGCCTCAGGTACTTTATGACCAGTGTTTCTTCCAGACATTTTTCTCCGGGGGGGGGGGGGGGTTGGTGGCACTTGATACTTTTACCAGACACTGGTAAAAGTATGTTTTTTATATAAATTCCATTTCGTTGGGAGGGGGGGGGGGGAGTAGACTTTCTTCGGACAGCCCCCCCCACCCCCGAAGAGATGCCTGGAAGAAACTCTAGATGTGACTGTTGGCACCTGTATAGCTGCCTCAGTTCTGACTTGATTTGACTGTTGGCATCTGTATTTTTGCCTCAAGGTAAGATGTGACTATCACACCTGTATATCTGTCTCAGGTAAGATATGTCTGTTAGTACCTGTAGTAGGCCTATATCTTACCTAAGACAGCTATGCAGCTGCTAACAGTCAACAGCCGATAAGTGATGGCACATCTCTCACACACACAATCATAATCACTCACATTCAAACACTATCAGACACATGCATACACATAAATACACACTTGCTCTCATGCATATACATACACTTACACATCGACACATACATAATCACCCACGCGCATGTGCAAACGATTGCTATTTGTTTTTATTGTTTCAGATATTCTAACAAATTAAGTTAGCGCTGACGTTACAAAGTTCAAGATCCCAACACCATTAGTTTTCTGGTCAAGTGAAAGTGGTTTTAGAAAAAAAAAACCCATTAATTACACGCTTTAAACTCAAGGTTTTTGCTGTTTGCATTTATTTCTTGTTTTACTTTTTTCGTGCGCATGTATAGTTCTCAAACAGTATACCATTAGAAGATATATGGATCTGGGTCAGGGGTCGGCAACCTTATGAAGCGGAAGAGCCAAAAGTTACAATTTTTATTATTTCCCTGGTTTTAAAGAGCCACTAACATTTTTTTTATTCCAAATATTTTATTTTTTTATTAAGATTATTAGTATTTGTTCAAGGAGCTGGAGAGCCGCATCTTGATATCAAAAGAGCCGCATGCGGCTCGCGAGCCACAGGTTGCCGACCCCTGATCTGGGTTATTTTGAAACATCGATAAGATTGTTGTTTATGTGTCAATTATGGGATTAACACAGGAAAGTGCATAGACACATTGGTTAATGTCTATGTAGCAATGTAATTTTTAATTTTGCTAAAGTGTTGGCGTATATATATTAATTAACACTTTTAGATTACAAGGGTTTTTAATAATCGTGCTGTCTATTAAAAGAAAAATTAGTATATATTATATATTTATTCTAGCTTTAAATAAAACAAAATTTTAATTATACATGCAAACATATTTTTACAATCTTGTTGATGACTTTGGGAGTTTATTTTATTCTTGTTTCCCTTGGTTTTGACTTTTAGTATTTTTAAACGAAACAAAATTTTAAAATATTTTTTAACATTAAAAATGTGTAGTCGGAGCACCGATGTCGACAGGCTTGTTTGATAGGCAGAAACGAAATTGAATAATAAAGTAGATAACAAAATTATTATATTGTGAATTTTTCTTGACATTATTAAAATATAAAGGGAAATCAGCGCCAAGAGGGTACACCACTATTTGATGACTAGGTTGTGTTTTAACATATTTTTTGGTTTCCTATTTATTCTTCCTCTCATACCGTTTACTTCAATGAGCCAGGAGCGAACCAGTACGAGCACGTTTACATGGTAATACATAAGCATACATACATTATATAAGGCTTGCATTGGTGATGCAAATTCTAATGGAAGCGATAAATAGCGAAAAACCTTAACCAATTAACAAGTCTTTGTTAACATCTAAGTAACTTAGAATTAATGTTACACTCTTTACTTAAATGTTAAGTATGAAGCAAAAAATAAAATAAAAACCTGTTATTATTTAATTTAACCAATCTCACGAAATCAAACATATTATTAATGTAAGAAACACCAAAATACGTTGATATTTTGTTTTTCACACGTTTTTAATACACAAAAAACGCCAAAAGAAAAAAAGCAGTCTGAAGACCATGACCATCAAACTCTGAACTAGGAAGTACAGAATGCAAACATTTGTAGTTTTAATAAAGAAACAACGTCTAGAAGTTGAATAATAGTAACATAAACTTTAAGTTAAATGTTTGATAAGTAAAACTAATTGTAAAGCTAGACGTTGAATACAGTTATGCAACATTTTAAAAATTAACACTACGAAAAAGATATATTTAGAATTCTAACTAAAACTTTCATAAAATATAAACTGAAGTTATTATTCAAGGGATGTAATTAAGGACAGTATTTTGCTGTCATATACTATATACTTGGTTGAATTAATTAATTTGTTTAACAGGCACATTTTTAAATTGGGCTATGCTGATTTGTTGAAGCTTGTTTTATCGAGTTTTTTGTATGTGTTTGCTTTGTTTACGAGTATTTTTTAATCTGCATTTTTTTTCTCGTAACGTAAAATTTCACTTCTCGAATTTCATTTTACAAAATTAATCAATTTGTACTAATGCTATTAACCAAATTCACGAGAAAATATAAAATACTTCTTTAAAACATGGACGACTAGAAATCCAGAAACACCGGGGTAAATAAATGACGTTAACTTGATTAACATGCACATGTTAGAATATTACAAGATAGAAAATTTTTAAATAATTTTTTTTATAAATATTACACATTGATTACAGAAAGAAATAAAGTGTGATTTTTTAAAGAGATGCAAGAAAGATGAAAAAAAAACCATGTAAAATATAGGTGGCAATAAACGAATATAAAACTTTCAAATACATTACTTAAAACAGCTGTAATTTTGTTCAATCTAATATTTAATTAATATTAAGCTGAAAAATGAATAAAAATACGTTTGATTGAAAACTGATTTTATGTTGGATGTACGCTGATCTAATATAAAACAAACTTAACCAATGAGTTGAAATAATTCTACGTTATTAAATTTTTCACTCTGTCACTAATATGTTTATCTTTATAATAAGTGTTCTCCAGTAACATATAACACAAAGAATCAAGTAAATCAACAGGAAATGCTATAAAAATTCATAACAATTTTTAATTAAAAAAAAATTCTCACTAATTTTTCCACACTTTGTTTTCGTTTATGACGAAACAATTTTTGCTCTGTTTTTCCCGTTGTTAAATTGCTCCCATTTTCTAGAGGCAACCGGGTAAAGAACCAACAGAGGATGTGAGGCAGCTAGTGTAGGCAGCAGGTACACGGTGATCCAGCCAATGGTCTGGGGACTTAGGGCTACCCCCACCACCGTCAGAAAACCTGAGGTACAGACAGGGAACCAACACAGAATGTTGAATACAACTAGATGGACTTGCGTTTTCACGTCATCTAACATGTCTTCGTCATACACGGGCAAAGTGACGTCAGAGCTGGAGAAAAGTGTTTTAAAGATCAGTACTTGTGCTAGTATCGTACAAAGCAGGATAACGAATGTAAAGACGATGTGGAGAGTGAAAGAATACACCCAGGCGACTGGATGATTTATATAGAAGGGTAGGCCGAGACACAAAGCATTAGAAGAATACATGTGCCATGCTGGGAACACGACTGGAATAACGGCGGCAGTGAGAGATAGACACCAGACACACACGACAGTTGTGACACGAACACATCTCGATGTCATGGTGTTACGCTGATCATCTTGTAGCTTGGTGTATAGATCGAATGTACTCAGCAAAACAAACACAGCTGACGCTACGTACGAGAGGGTCGCTAGAAAACCTCCAATCTGACACAGTGAACTACCTCTCCATTCTGTATCGTACAGCACGTAACTATCCCTGTAGTAAACATCCGCCGTAGCTGGTAGCATCACAGATAGAGACATTAATAAATCGGAAAAACCCAGACTAGTCGACGAAAATAGTTCGCCGTGTTTTAAAATCTCAAACCCGGTGAGTAATCTAAAAATAACCACAACGACATTACCCGTGACACCTGTAAGACCTACAAGGAAAAAATACGATGTTCTCACGACATTTCCAAGCAGGTTTGAACATGATGATATGGGATCAGGTGGTGCTTGACAATTACCCGAGGTAAATCCGCCTCCAGCATACTCACTGCAGCAAAGCTTAAAGCTATCTCCATAAACTGATGATGATATTGTTATTTTCTTTAAAGCTGCAGCCATTTTAGTATTAAATTCTATCTTAGTATTTCTTAAATCTAAAATACTTATAATAATTTTACAAGGATTTAATTTCTTGTTTTCAACGGACCAGGTTTTAATGTAGTCATTTACAAAAACGAAATGATCAAATTTGGACTGACTCAAGTTGATATAATCGATAAAGGATTCGCTAGAGACGTGATGTTCTTGGAACTCAAGAATTTGTAGGTCTGTGTGTGAAAAGTCTAGCAAGATGGGGAATGTTCTTTCCATTGGTAAAAAAACCTTGAAAGTTTTTAAGTTCGTGTGTGTAGCATTAAAACGGTATATTGGGACGGCAGGTTGGAAGTCGGTTTTAAAGCAACAAATTTCTGGATGAAAAGAGTTATAGCTGAAGTCTAGGAGGTTCGGACCAAAAGTGGCTAATTGTAGAGATTTGGCGAGTTGCCTAAATAAATGCTCGTTAAGGCTACAGTTTGATACATGCAGTTCTATCAAGATCATTCGATCACTTTGATATTCTAACTGAACTCGACTTAGATCGATACCAGAAAGGTCAATGACCCTTGTGTTATGGTCGATGTTTTGTAACAGCGTTAGGTGGTTGACCTTACTGTGGTCTGTGACCGCCGTGACCCCGTACTGGCAGGTAAACCCTGCCGGGCAGGTTTTGTAGCAGTGTAGCTCGTCATCGCCTGTAGGACAGTGGTCAAGGCCGTCACACACGTGGGCGGGGTGGACGAGGACACGCGACTTACGACATTTAAACAATTTGGGGGAAAATATTTTCTCGTAGTTGTCGGTAGATTCGTCGTCGTCATGGGGACAGTCGAAGCGTCCGTCGTTGACCACGTAGAAGGGGACACAGTACGACAAGCGACATTTGTAAAACCCATCGGGACAAACAAAAGCAGCGCAGTTGTTTAAATGCGACAGATCGGAACAGCCTGAAGCTTGACCTGAGTACAAGTCCCTTAGATAAACACAGCGAGCCGCCCAAGAACTCTCCTGTCTTGTAAATCTCTGTTCTGGTACCGGCTTATTCAACTCTAATCTTCTCTTCTCATAAGAACACTTTTGTATGACAAGCTTGTGTGTTGTATCAACGGGGATTTCACATACAGTTTTCTTGCACAAGGCTAACACGTCTTCTGCTAGTTTGATCACTTCCATGGACACGGCTTCTTCACGTTGGGGATAAAATAAAAAATAATCCTCCTCCTTATAAAACCACTGGCTGGGCAGACAAGTCCCATCGTTTAGCAGCGTCTCCATACAACCATTGCAGTTCTCCTCGTCATCATTCTCTGGGCAGTCGAAAAACCCGTCACACCTCTTTGTTTTGTCGATACACGCTGGTACAAAGTCGGTAGCTGATTTAGTGCAATAAAACGCATTCACACATTGCGTCCTAGATGCAGAATATTCATCCAGCTTATTTGTGCAGTCATAGTGACCATCAAACACCAAAGAAAATGGAATTTTTTCTGAATTATGAAAACAATCAAATAGATTGATATTTTGATTGAATTCCGATTTGATGTTATTATTTAAAGATCTGATTTTTTTCTTCTTTGAACCATTGTGGTTACTGCGAGCACTCAT